AGAAATACAATTCACCAATCTTTCTAACTTTAAACTTTTGTCTTTGTAGATATTTACCAATTATCCACAATAAAAAGTAAGCCATGGATCTTGTATAGTGAATGGGGGAATTTCTGTCAATAGTTTTGCAATTTCTCAAAGCAGACACGTGTATCTGAATCACATTTCATTTCATGTTTGTGCTCAGAACACATGTGTGAGCTACCCAGGCTAGCCCACAGCACCCTCTGTCAAGTGCTGGGACTGGGTGCAAGCATGTCAGGCTGCATGGCAGTACTACCTGGCAGCCCCAGGGTCCAGGGGTGGCAGTGAGCCTGGCAGGGGAACTGTGGGCACTCCCCTGCTAGGCTGTAGCTCCCACTGGTGAGCATCAGAGCCAATGACTGGGTTGGGCCAGGCTAGTTAAGGCAGTAGCATCCATCAGCATATGTGTCAGCCTGATCTGCCATCAAGTCAGGCTGAGCTAAGTATCAGCACTCCAACCATGGATGTGCACTAGAGCCAGATGGGATGCAGGATGGACCAGGCTAGGCCTCAGAAGAGGCCAGCACACACAGAAACTGAGGCTGGATTTTATGGAGTTGCTGGGGGATTGCTCGGACTAGTTGTGGCAATGCTGATATGCATGAAAACCAGGCCTTTGGTGGGTTAGGCTAGGCCACAGCCTCCACCCTTCCGTTCATATGAGAGATGGGGCTGGAGAAGGATCCCCCAGGCAGCTGCACCCACCAATACGTGCATTGGCTAGTACATAGGTCCAAACACATGAGCCATCCTCTGCTACTTCTGCAGCCATTAGGATGGAGAGAAGTTGACTGGAAGTGGAGTGCCAGGACTAGACCCAGCACCCGTGGGGGATACTGGGGCTGTAGCTTAAGACCTAGATCATGTGTATGCATCAACTCCCACTGTCTGGGATCCAAGCCTAGTGTTGATGTGAATCAGGGTACATATTAAGAAAATAAGAAGCTTTGTTCCTAAAACATCACAAAGAAAATCATTCTGTCTTTCAATTTTATTGCTCAACAGTAAATACTCAGGCAAATTGGAAATAGGACAGTAGATCAAAATGCCTTCATCTCAGTTATCAGCTTGAAACAAAGTCAGAAAACACACAGCACGATGGAACTGTGAGGATAAAGAACATCAAAGCACTGGAGGGCAGCAGCACGGATCCTGCCCTCTATTCACACGCACACTCCGACGACAGCCTCTGTCTCACAGCCTCTTCCCAGAATTATACATACACACTTACTCCCCACTGCACACACACTCAGAATCCTATCCTGGCATCCCAGGTGACTCCAAACATGAGGACCTTCGCCCTCCTCACTGCCATTCTCCTGTTGGCCCTCCAGGCCAAGGCTGAGCCTGTGCCACCAGCAGCCGATGGGGCTCTAGCCAGGAGCGCTCAGAGGCAGAGGACCAACTCATGGCCATCTCAGTGTCGATGGATAAAGAAAACAGTCTTCAGGATCCAGGTGAGAGACTGCAACTCATGAGGAGGGGTTGAATGGAGGCAGACTCTGAGATTCATAATTGGATGGCCCTGATCACTTGGCCATATTTACGTATCTGTGAAATATTTTCCTCTAAACCTGGGTGAATGCTAGGAGTCAGATTAGCAAGCCTCACATGGGCAAATCCACCTGAAAGGACAGCATTTGACTCTGTCCCCTAGGAAGGTTTGTACACTGAAGATGCAACTGAAGTTGTGTTCAGATGTGTCCGATGAAGTTCAGAGCACAAAGGAGAGAAGACAGTTTTACGTAGGTCATTAATATGCTGTGTGAGCAACATTGCATTGTGTTGCACACTGCTCTTCATGCCACTGGCTGTAATGTAGCCCACGTGACACCCTACCAACCCAGCACGGAACTCTCCCTTGTTTCTCTTGATCCCTTCTGTTATTGCTCTGTACTCTGTGTGTACGTAAAGTACATTACAAAAGGTTCTGTCTTTTCCCAGGAGGCAATCCCGGGCAGCACAGTACCGATGGGCAGGTGTGCATCAACTCTCTCTCTATTGCAAATGCATTTTTGGAGCAACATTCTGTGGGCATCTCTTTCATGCTTCCTGTGTGCCTTATGTTAGCTTGACATACAAGTGCCACAAATGTGAAATCAAAATAAATAGAAAAGTAATAAATGAGCTAGCTTCAAATAATAGCCATTTCAGAGAGCAGCACACGCTTCAGGAAAAACATTGTAAAAGCTTCAAGTGATGCGTTTGACTCACCTACTGACCTCCACTGTGTCTTCACTAGGCCTACATTTACATCTTACCATGTTTGAAGCAAAGCATTCATGTCAACTTCAGGCAGCTAGTCATAGCACACTGACGTCTCAGGAAATAGCACCATCTTCTCCCTCAAGGTACTGGTGACGGCACAGGTCTCAGGAGCTGTCTGTGAGTCACAGAATTACAACGGCGCCACAGAAATCACTTTTATTCAGCTGACAATGTGTTGTCCACAACAATTGTGACTGAATTCAGTAAGCACAGGAGGCCACATTGTGATGTTTGCATTTTGATAATTCTCTGGGTTTAATAAAAATTGGAAATGCTATAGACATAATGCTGGTCTCCTGGATTACAGAAAACTTGTATGAGTCTAAGAGTATATGTAAAATACAGCTAGGAGAGGAACACCGGAAATAAAAGGGCCAGAGAAAGCAGGTCTCCCTGCCATCCATAGTACTAACCCCCGAAGTCATCATGTGTATCAGTGAGGCGGGACGAGTGAAACCAGCTCTGTCTCAGCGTAGTGATGTGCAGATCTGTTACATACAGAGTCTGTGCTCAGGCAGCCATAGCTCCTCCTGGAGCTCTCTACAACTCTTACCCACACCATCCTGGGTCTCCCACATGGATACCAGAGAACCAAAATCATGGGGTATCAGCTGCTACATGCCAGGTTATCCACCAGCACAAAGAAAGATCAGGAACAGAGAAGACAGGATTACAGGTTTACCAAGGATTGTCCTCATCACTGCACCAAACACCTGTTACACAAATTAATCCCCTCACCACCGTCCTGGTACAGTCATTGTGTAGGCATCGAAGCACAATGCTGAGCAAAATCTGAGCTTATATTCTAGTGCAGGGATCCAAGTGTCACATAAATGAAAGTTTAGCAATTGTTTCAAATTTTGTAGAGAACAGGTCAAAGTTTATACAAAAAAAAAAAAAAAGAGAAAAAAGCTAAGATAAGGATCACCAGGAGGAACATGGAAGAATTTGAGATCGTGAAGCCAGGACAGCGCTCCACATCAAGGTGAGTGTGTGGCAGAGATCTGGGAGTTAGGGAAGTGAGCCACAGGCATTCTAGAATCAGTCCAGGGGCCCAAGATGGATTCCAACAGGCCCAGTGCACAGCTCATGAACAGCAATGCAGAGAGAGGACAGAAAAGCTTTAAGACAGAGGCAGTAAGAGGAATTAAAAATGCCCTTCCTGGTCCTCATCCGGAATCCCAGTGCTTGAGCTTCAGCAGTTATACAACAGGGAAGAATGGGACCCCGAGAAGGGACTCTGACCTCCGTGGGACTGGCTTGTGACGCCCCAGCACTGACTAGTCTCAGGGGAATGCATGGAGCCCTACACTTGCATTCTCTCTCACACAGACACACCTGGGACTGTGACCCATCTCGGGGTCACGAGGGAGGGGCATGGGGAAGAGCTGGCCCTGCTCTGGTGTCTCGGTGTTGCTAAGCTAGCAGTCACACCAGTGTCTGAGCTTTCCTGTGTCTTAGTTAAGAATGCTGAGGAAGCCACAGAAACACTGTCTCCTTCTCAACACCCTTCAGTCCCTCCTCATTGATGGCGGGTCTGCTGAGGCTCGCTACAAGCAACCATCCCAGTAAGGGCTGCCACAGATTGAAATGACATTGTTCCCCAGGCATGTGCACCAGATTCCTCATCTGAAAGATGAGATCCTGCACAGAGACATGGTGGCTGGAGCACACCCTGCACCCCTCGCAGTGGTCTGTGACCACATCCTGAGAGACAGCTGACAGTAGCATGGGTCCACGAGCATCTAAAGGAGGGAATAAGAGGTCAGATTAAAAGAGGACGCAGACAATAGCTTATCTAGGTGTTGACTGACCCTTTGCAGACACTGTGCTTGTCAATCAGTGGGTCCCTCCAGAGACAAGAAGAGAAAGGTCCCAGAAGGACACAAGCGTTACATGAAGTGTGTGCAGTGGGGTGAACCAAAGATGGGACCAGGGCAGCAGGGGCCACTATGAATGCCCAGCGTGAACTGATCTGCTTGTCCAGACGTGGTGACCGGGCCTCCCTCATGTGCATGATATTTTGCACCGGAACCTCAGCACCCAGTAGCTGCTCAGACTTGTAAGGTCCTTGGCAGATTTTCCTTTTCTTCAATTTCTTTCTTTCCTTAGGTGTTTCTAAGAAGCCATGTTTTCAGACGCCAGCAGACTCCCAGCACTTTACACTCACTCCAGCTATCACGTGCCTCAAAGCACCCGAGCAGTGGTGTGAGTGTGAAAACTCACTTTCTATGTACAAAGTCCCAGGTGAAGACAACAGCATGAAGAGTTCAGCAGGGTGTGCGCCCCTGTTCTACTCGTCAGGTCTTTGTTAACAGCCCATTCCAAACTGAACACACGTGATTTCACAGGCTATGAAACCCCAGACCATCAGGGACCTTTGCTGAATCTGGGTCTTTCCACAGAAACTCCTCCACTTTACACAAGGGCATGGTGATGTTTCAGGAATGAAACTGGAGCCTGTGGCTTGGCCTCCCATTGGAAATGTCCGTGGGGGAGGCTCTCATCTGAATGAAGGCAGTGGCAAGAGCAAATAGAGATGGGCAGAGCTCTGATCACCTTCCTCTACCTGACACCCACATTCAAGTCAACTCGAGCTAGATCTTCCAACCAGAGCTTTGTCTAAACCAGGTTAAGATGCTGGGACTCACTTCCTGAGGTCCAGGCTAAGGTCCCCATGAGCATCGAGGGAACACAGACACCGAGCACTCGCTAAGGCTCTTTATTTGGGGTTGGAGAGGAAAGGACATGGCACAGGAGTCATAGCAGTTTCCATAAAGACCACAAAGCAGAAAGGAGCAGCTTTTCCCTGTTGTTCCTCTCAGCGGCGACAGCAGAGTGGGTATCGGGCACCACGGATGATGCAGACCCCAGAGCGGCGTTCCCGAGATACACACAAGCGTCTTCTGCAAGTGCAGACAATTCCTGTGCTGACACCTGCAGACACGTGAGAAGAACAAGGCACTGGGGTCATTAAGGGTCAAAGGGGGTTAGGAGCATTCTGAAGGAGTTACCTGTGCAATAATTGTGTCCATTAGGGTGTCTGAAGTACAGCTGGTACCACAACAATCAGCCAGGTGGAATAAGAACAAGTACTGACCACTCACAAGCTCAATCCCCATGGTGTTTTCTGTCTGCTCTGTGCTCATCACACTCACCTGAGCCCACAGGCCTGGTCCTGCCTGCAGTTATGAACCCTCCTTTTGCACGTAAAGTTCAATGTAACCTTTCAGAGAAATCCACCCATTTGGAAACTAATAACTAGTCCAAGCATCTCTCCACGTCTTAAACACAAGGAAAACTATACTCAAGCCTCAGAATCAGGACATTCTGCTAAAACAAAATGTCTCAAATTCATGTGACATTCCCTTCTCAATTTGCTGGCAAGAGAATTGCTGGCCAAGCAGATGAGATAACATCATCTCAGTTACTCCCCCAAGCTACTCCACAGCCCACGCCCCATTCTTTCTCTAAGTTGATACAGCTCTGCTCTGGGGTAACTCTCACCTAGAGCTTCAAGAATGGAGCTTTCTTCCTCTTTCACGTACACAGCCACGTCCTGGTCCTCTGCCCCTGACTGCTGCTGGTCCACAACCTCATCAGCATTCACCGTGAGGAGCTCAGCCCGGGCTTGGAGGGCCACCAGGAGCATGACAGCCAGGAGAGCGAGGGTCTTCATCGCTGGGAGTCACCTGTAGGATGGGAGAGCAGCAGCCTGAGTGTGGGGAGCAAGGTGTCAGTTCGTATTCATGGGCCTGCTGGGTCTGCAGGCTCAGAGACAAAGGCTGCCATTAGAGAAGGTGTGTCTATGTAGGTAGGCTGGGGCCTGCCATTGTCCTCAAGAGCCCAGGATGCTCCTTCATTCTGGCACATTCACCATCGCACAGCTCTGTGTTTACTGTCTCTTCCAGGCTGAAACTGATCATTTTGGTAGAGACATGGCTGTCGTCTGCTGTTTGCCTTTTAATATTTAAGAAGGGAAGGAGGGAGTGATTTGATTCAATAAGATCATGGAACAACTGCCTCTCATTTCTACAGATGGCTCCTCTGCTCTTGTGGATCTCTGATCCTCAGCCTGTATGTGGACACCCAGTGAGTACAGTCGGTCACTGCAGTGCCTAGGACACTGCTATCACTCTGAGTGAGAATTTTCAGGTTAATATGTGAGAAGCCTTCCGCCAGAGTGACTGTGATGTGACATCAAGCCTATCAATCTATTCAGGAAATGCACCCAAATAACACTATGGAAATAATTGATCTAAGGCCAAAAGACATTTGCCCTGGCTTTACTGAACATTGAGTGACCATTTAGATTATGTACAGCTAGAGTGACCAAATTGTTGACCTCACGTACTTATGTAACTGGCTCCTCATCTCAAGGAAAGCCATAAAAATTAACCTAAAGTACATGGAAGTCTGAAACCTTACAAATATTAAACATCCAAGAGACAAAGCTGTTGACTTTGCTTTGCCAAGGGTATCTTGTATGTGGCAGCAATGGCACTTGGCGATGAAGACTTGATGAATGGATGCTGAAGTGGGAATTTTGTCCAGAGCAAAGGAAGCCATCTACAGTGAGAAGCAAACCAGGAAGCAGGTGGAAATAATCACAAACCATAAAGCTGCTACATGTTAGCATCCAAATAAACAATTCAATAACCAAAAAAAAAAAAAGAGTAGGCAATAAAGAAAAACTGGTCTGACTTTACAAGGAGGAAAGGACCAGACATTTGGCTCAGTGTTTAAGATTTCAGTTAGGGAAGCCAGCAATGCCTGTTGGAGTGCCAGTGTCTGCTATCCAGCACCACCAATTCCAGTCCTGCTACCCAGACCCCAGGGAGCCACAGGTGACAGTTCGTGTTTGATGGCCCACTGCAAACTCATGTAGGAGACAGACTGAGTTTGTAACTCCCGTCCTCACTTAGGTCCGAACTCAGCATTCAGAAGCATTTCAAGAGTTACCAGTGAATTAGGACGCTTCTCACACAGAAAGAAGGGCCTCAGCAAGGGTTTCACATGCCTGGATTCATCCATTGCAGTTCTCTTTAGGCATAGATTGTGGTTAGAGTTTAATGACATAAATCTAAAGTGAGAATTCAAAGCTTTTCAGTACTTACAGATGCTCAGGCAGTGCACGGTGATTGGAGAGGAGCCGGCTGCAGTCCTCTGAGGCAGGTGTCTGGAGCAAAGGCACCACACACATGCAGTGTAGGACTTCTCCTATTTAAGGAGCTCCTGGGGTGAGATGTCCTCATTTCATGAGGACTTCTTATTGAGCAATTCCAACAACCCAGAAGCAAGGACCGTTGGTTAGTTTTCTGTGAAGCTTGGGTAGAACATGGCTCAGTTGGGGACTTTGTATCTGCCTTGGTCAGCCTTAGCCACGTGCAGCTGACAAACACTGTTGTGTCTCCATTATTTCTAGTGAGATTGACCCTGTGATGTTTAGACCCCTTCCCAGGATGAATCTCTTAGAGCCGGGAATATTAATTGCCTGAGCTACACTATACAGCATATTCCTTGTAAAGGAAACTAGGGTGAGGACACCAGTCAACATTCCTAGCATTTGCAATCCAGTTCCCCATCACTTCCCAGGACTTGGACTCTGCTCATGAAAGTGAAGGAAATCCTCTGTAGGTGGTCCTGTTGGAGAACACCTGGATAGATTATGCACTACCTCACACATGTAGTTCCTCCTTCTTGATCTTCTGTCCCTGAGATATTGATGTGCAAACAGCATGGAACATCCTCAAGTGAAGAAATGTCAACTTGTTTGGACAATGGATGAAGCAGGGCTAAAAGGGTTTTTAGCACCACATGTGCCAAGGATCATAACCATGTCTCCTGGAGATTATCAACAGGGCTGTCAGGATGAGGGATCTATGGTCTGGTCACCAAACCAACTGCAGCCAGAATGACTAAACACGTGCCTGACTTCATGAGGTCTCCCTAGGTCATCTGGCAGAGAAGTCCCAGTGCTACCAGTGCACTTTTCAAACTGCCACAATTCACCATCTTTCTCTTTCTGATGGTGAGGTGAGTGGCATAGGTTTAAGGACAACGGGAATTAATAGGTTACTAAGAAGGCAATAAAATCAAATGTGTTAATTCTCCTGTCCATGTGTTCATGAGGATGTTCAGACCATCTTAAGCACAGAGCCTCAGGATGGCTGTGGTGGTCTACTGGAAGTTGTGAGATATCAGTCTGTGATGGACTGGGAGCAACTGAATGAGAGCCAAGTGCCCTGCACAGCCGGAGGTGGCATGTGGTTGTGTCTCTGCGTGTCACAGTGGTGGTTGTGCCAAACCTCTTGGGTAGCAATGAGTTCCTGTAATGTGGAAGACTTGGTAGCTTCAGCATTTGAGCACGTGGTCACATTTAATGAGATCTACATCATTTGTGAGGTTGACCAGGTGCCTTGGACCTTTTAGCTCCTTCTCCTATATCTTCTCACCACTTCTGTCCCTGGGTTTTGCAGGTCATTGCCCATCCTGGACTCAGCAGTAACACACCAGTGATATGTGTCCTGCCTTCCTCATGCACACTGAGTAGGTGGAGATATCCCTGATCTCATCTGCCCACTTCCATTTAGCCGATAAATGCCTCTTCACACTCCTGCACTGAAGGCAGCTTTATCCTTCCCCTGTAACACTGCTTCCTCATGTTTGATGGAGCTAGCATTAACACTGGATGACTTTTGCCCTTAGACAATTCTTTTGCCTCCATGTTGTACAACACTTGTTTTAATCTATGGAGTTTTGTTTTTCATTTGTTTTTTAAATTTTTTTATCAACATGGAAGAGTTATGTATTTTGTTTTTGTGTAGTGCAATACTTTAATTTTTTTAAGATTTTTATACAAAGGTGGATTTCCAGAGAGAAGGAAAGATAGAGAAAGAACTTCCATATACTGGTTCACTTCCTAAATGGCCCCACTTGTTGGAGCTGAGCTCATCCAAACCCACAAACCAGGAAACAGGAGCATGCTCCAGATCTCGTACAGAGGTACAGGGTCCCAAGGTCATGGGCCATCCTCTACTGCTTTCCATTTCATAAGCAGGAAGTTAGATTGGAAATGCAGGTCCAGGACAGAAACTAGAGACAACAAGGGATGCTGATGCGTGCAAGGAGGATTAGCCCATCAAGCCATGGTGCCAGCCCCAGGCTAGTGCGATTTTTGACAGATAATTAGGGTAGAAAACAAGCAATAGCTCATCACATCTTTAATCACAGACTGCAGGTTCCCTCCTGTTTTGTGGAACACCATAAGCAATTACCCTGCTCCGACCACATTTAGTGTCCACTGTCTAAGAGGACTCAGGGTCCTGAGAGTTAGGTAAAGGCACCAAGGAGAGGTGACCATCCCAGACCCGAGGTCAGAGCCTGACTCAAGGCCTTCACCACTAGAACTCGTAGCTCTGGCCTGATGCACTCTCTCACCTGGGACTCTGCGTCCACAGACCCGCCCAAGAAGCTGTCTACACTATTCTTGTACTTCCGTGAATAAAAGCCCTGGGTTTGGTTCTGTGTTGGCAATGATGATGAGGATCCATGTATATTTTTCCTATTCCTTACCTTTGGAATATGTATTATTGTGTTCAAAATATAAGCAAAAGTTTGCTCCATTTACTGAGATCAGGAAGTGAAAGCTTCTTAATTCAGAAGATAGGTGCAGTTACTCTGCAGGTCTAGACCCTAGGGTAGAGATGTGTTGCCATGGAGTAGAAAGCGAATTTATTGCAGTGTTTTGAGCATTGCCATCGAGAGGATCCCACCGGAAAGACTCCAAGAGGGAACAATGACTTTATCAGCCTGTAACACAAATGAGCTCAATGGTACTAGGAAATAAATTGACCTAAGTCTACAGGAATATTTACTTTTCCACTTGTGCATATTTATCTACATATGAAGTGTGCAGTCTGATTAGGCTTATCTTGTACCATGTACACAATAAGCTCCAACTTTGAAGGCATAAAATGACAGGGAAGAAAACCAAAATGAGCCTGCTGTGAGCTCTGTCATCCCAGGAGAATCTGAGCATCCTCACTGCTGTGACCCTGAGATGCAGAGGCAGTGGTAAAGCAGTACAGAGACAAAATTGAGATTTCCCAGCAATTAGACCAGCCAGTCTAACTTCACAGCAAACAAACTCACAGTTTGTATGCTGCCTATATATCCACCTTCCACTGAAAGTTAAAAGCATTGAAAAAAAAACTGTTAATTTAGGACTAATCAAAAAGAAAAAAGAAGATAGCATGAACTTCCCATAAGAAAGCATATGCTCAATTTAATAAACTGCAACTTCAAAGTATATGTGATATGTATACTTATGCTCCAAAAGAATGGGAGGGACCTGATGCAATGACGAAATTCTCACATTACCAACACCTGGTTCACATATGGGTACCAGTTTGTGTCCCAGCTGCTCCACTTCCCTTCAGCTACCCTCTTAGAGCCTGGAAAGCCATGGAGGATGGCCCAAAGCCTTCACACCCTGCACACATGTGGGAAAACCCGAAAGAGGCTCCTGGCTCCTGGCTTCAGATTGGCTCAACTCTGGCCATTGTAGCCATTTGGGGAGTGAACTAGCAGATGAAAGATCTTTCTCTCTGTCTCTCCTTCTCTCTGTGAATCTGACTGACATCCTTTCCAATAAAAAATAAACAACTATTTAAAAAGAAGAAGAAAAGAAAGGAGGAGTAAGGGGAGCCATCATTTAAAGAATGAAGCCATGATGGGAGTAGTGGAAAACATGAAAATATTGAGAGAAATATTATAAAAGCTGAATGACAAGTTCGCTGTAGGAAATCAGCAGTAGATGGGAACTAGAAGAGAAAAGAATGAGCAAACCATAGAACCAGGATTGGCATTATGCAATTTAACGAATGAGAAATAAAGCCCCTAGAAAAGCAGGGTGCCGCCAAGCAGGTTAGCTGGAGCCAATGGGTCCAGGGGGCAGGAAAGCACAGGCCAGACGTAGAGGGACACGCAGAGAGCTTGGTGCAAAGACAGGCCACTGGTGGATAAAGATTTAGTACATATAACATAGAATGATACACAGCTACAAGGAACAAAATGAACTCAGCTGAAGGACATCAATTTCAGTGAAACAGGCCAAACCCAGAAGGAAAAAAATGTCCTATATTCTTCTTTGTATGTGGGAACTAACTATAAAAATAAAATAAAAAGAAAATTGTGCAATCAGTAGTGCTACAAATACAGTTTTATGAAACTGTAGCACATACCTTTGTCAAATCAATGGTTAAGAATGTAACATGCTACATTATAATGAGCTGTGATTAACTTAAAATTTACTGTATGTGAGTGAAATGGCCATTTTCCACTTAAATCTTGCTTATTGCTGTTATCTGTATTTCCACAAAATTGTGATCTTCTCACTTTTAACCAGTCAAACTTCTTATTGGGAGATCTATAAAACCTTTTTACTGTAAAAATAGACTCAAAATACATTTTCTCAAAAAAATAAAACAAAAGGTAGGAGGAAGGCCTCAAGAAAGGGACTGGGCAGGGGCAGGCGGAGCAAAGGAAATATCATAATGTCTTTAAAGTTGTATCTACATATTACAACAAACCTGTTAAAAACTAAGTTAAAACTAAAATAAATAATAAATACAAATCCCTTCCGTTCTGGTTCTGCCTGTTGTAGAGTTTGAACATTAAAACGGCCAAAGTCTGCTTTGTAACAGACACATTTCTAAAAGCAGGAAAGATCTCTTTAGCACAGTTGTCATGGGGATCAAGATGTTACCACAGGAGGGGAGTTGAACTGAAATCCCTGGAGAATTTCTGAGCTTTGGACCCTTTGTTGGGAAAGTCCTCAGGGGTTAGTGGGAAGGTTGCAAAGGTGATTACACCATCAGTGTTCCCTAATTTGCACCTAACTGAAGTGAGACTCCGAACTCCCCACACAGACAGGGCTGCTGTGTCTGTGGGCAATTACTCCTTCAAGGGTGGCTCCTTGTGACTTTCTTCATCTGCCTGGTTTAGCACATGAGTGACTGATTTAAGGTAGAAGCTGTCTGGTGGGTGTTCAGAAGCTAGACACTGTGCATCCCACTGATGACATTGTGTTGTATGTGAGGTTCAGCAGGTTCTCTGGTCAGTGTAGCCTCTTACACAGTAGACAAATGATAATAATGTCTGGCTGGATAAATGAAGTTTCAGGATACATTTTCCCTTG